CTCTTTCAGTGATGAATGTGATTGATAATAGCTCCCACTTGTGAATCTTCAGGCTTTATAATGACCTGTGTAAATGCAGTTAACCATTCAAACTGCAAACTATCCACTTAGACAATTCATCGAGAACATACATTTTAATCGATTATTTTTTTAACTGAGTAATAGTAACAAAACTAAAGTCTATTTCAACAAATCAGTGCTAACTGGTCGAGTTTAAGCTTCCATTACTTATTAGCTACATTAGACTCATAGCTGCAATGCAAAATTAAATAAGCAAACTTCTAACACCAAACATGTCTTGGCTGATTGGCAGCACTAGGAGTAATTGGGGAAATAAGTTTCACTTTCAGATGTGAAGGTGGAACTAGGAGAAACCTTAGAGATCTCTGCACTTTTCCTTATGTTGGTATTCTTATAGAAAATACATTTTAAGTTTAGTCTTACTTGCAGATAAGGGTGTCTAAGGTGTCATTAGAATCTGATATGTGATCCTAAAGATGTTAGTCGGTTATCTCCATTTAATTTACTTTATCATAAATAAACAGGATGACATCACTAGTTATCACCACACAATTTGGCAAGATAAACCCATGCACACAGATACTGCACAGACATAGCAGTATAATTCCACATAGATGAGCCATTGTGGAAGACTGTAGTGAGTATTTATTGTAACTGTTCAGTGTGGATAAGTACTGGGCAATATAATGTTTATACAGGTAAACCGGTATTGATTTTTAGTTTTGGCAAGACTTACGGTTAAAGTGTTTTAACAGTTTTAAAAATGTAGTGTTTATTTTTTCAGTCCATTAAATCTATATATGGAAACAAATCTATAAAAACAGAATTTTTTTTTTAATTCAATATTTTTGTGATGTCATTAAAGCCCAAATATTTACCTAAATCAGCTCATTCTGCTTACAGTAGTTTAGCTCCACCCATTCATGCTAAAGTAAAATAAAGGAGTTTCAGCCTGGACTGCTTTTCGAAAAAGGCACAATACAGGACAGTCAACCCGAACGAAGGTCATTTACATATATCAGTCTTAACGGCACAGTCACAAAAACATTTTTAGAAAACGGATAGTTCCGGTCCTAAATTCTGATTGGCTGAGCCGCGTTCGAAGCCGTTTTAAAATCCACGATATACAACGGCTATACCCGCCTCACAGCAACTGAACTGTATTACTGCGCCACGGCACGAAAAAAAAACCTTGTGCTGTTAAAGGAATAATCTTTGACTCTAATGCTCTTCGCACGGAGCACAGAGTGTACTGATAAAGTAAGGACCCGTTTTTGTTTAAACTGAGGAACTGAAAACTTATTTTCTTAACTAGAACTAGACTGGTCAGCTAGTCAGCAGAATAAAAGATAGCAAATATGCTAAACAACTCCAACATCAATATCACAGGCTTGAATTAAATCACTCACAACACGATTCAAAACGACATTATAAAAGACTAAAGAATGTTACCTGAATGATCTACACGGTTTGAATGTCCGTGTTTCAGTCAGAAGTAGCGTCAAACCCAGGCTGAATCCCAAACGGTCCACCGCTTGTCAAGTATGAATGCGGATGAATCCCAAATGACTATTTTTTTAGCAATATTTGGCATTGTTGAGGTGCAGGAGTCAGTATTTAAATTCCTATGTAGTGCACTATGTAGGGAGCAGGGAGCTGTTTGAGATTCAGCCCCAGCGTGAGAAAAGTGGGATCGTCAGACTGGCAGAAGACTCACGGTGGTAATTTGGTGACCAAAAGGTGCTTATAAAGAGAAAGTATTTGCATTAAACAGTACTGTTATCATATGTTCACTGTTATAGAAAAAAGTTTTAAAAAATCAGGAAGTCTGCAGTATAAAGTGATGGGCGACCAAACGTACTTCTCTTCATGCTGCGGTTCATGGTTGCTTAGCAACGATACCGCACTCTAAAGGAACTACATTTCTTGGCGGAATACTTGTTAATGTCGATTATTATTAATAACTTAAATAATTATCTAAAACATTATGTATTTTAATATATTTTATGTTGGCCGCCGTTTTATAAAAGCAGTGTGTGAAGGGAGTTTTAGGCAAAGAACACCATTCCCTGTGATAAAATCGCAGTAACCCACAGCCTCTCGTGGCTTTTTGCTTTAACATTTAATTTTACTTAATTAAACTTAAGCCTTGTTTAATTCTAAGGGAAGAGAGGTCTGAAATGGTCATGTAAAAACTAATTACGATTGTGAAAAGAAATAAAACACAATATAATTAAAAATGTAGGATATCAGCCCCTTTACAATCATCAAACATCATAATACCTTTGGAAAATATCAATATTTTGAATTTTATCCAAACTGCCCAGCACTAGCACGAATCTACACAAACAGAGAGAGACTGGACAGATGCCAAATCACCCCTGGAATGGAATCTATGCTCACATGAAATGTGTTCCACGAAATTCGGCATTGCCTCAATATACTGAATGTGCTTCCACAACCAAGTGTGTCAACCAAAAGATTTATTTGTGGGAATTTGCTTTAAACAGGGTGATGAAACACACCATAAGTTGCTGAAACTATAGATTTCAATCAAAGTTCAGGAAGTGTGGGTTTCTAAGCAGGCCTACCATGAGAAACAAGCATCGCTCACTTCCTCATCAACTCAGTATTGGACTCTGCTCTCAAATGTCACTGTTACGATTAGTCTTGCACATTATAGGCCAATAATTCTTATAACTAGAAATAAAAATACTTTTTGTGAGGGCTGTGTTTGAACCAGTAGCATCCTATCTACACTAATACAAACGGATCTACACCAAAACTTATAATATTTTGGTACTCTCTGAACACTCACAGGCAAAGGCTCTGATTGAGTGCTATTATGAAAGTGGACAGAGTTCTCCTTGATGCTTTTTATAAATTGGACAGCACAAAAGGACACTTAAGCCAGGTCAGCAATACCGAGGGTGCCCTCTACTTCCATCCCTACGTTTAGGTCTACTTTTAGGCCCTACTATTAAACTAGTTGGTTTAGTGCTCAGACTTGGATATCTTGACACAGAGAAGGTTTGCAAAAACATTCTGAATACACAGTATAATGAGCTAAGATTCCGAGTTCTGCACTGCTGAAAGTTGTGAGCTGTGGGTCCAAGGTCTCCTGCTTCTTTCCTAAAATATTTCTGATACACAATATTAATGAATAGACCACTAAAGAAATTACTTATTATATGATATAATGTTTATTATAATTATTATCATATTACGATAAACAATCCAAGACGCCAGTATGCTGGACTCTGAAAAGGTCATTAACTACAACAAAAGATGGCAAAACATGCTGTGACATACATCCAGAAGCAACACTTATTGAACACAAAGCAAGATGCTTTATATCTATTGACCTCACAAAGACTCTGCAAACTGCACCCACAAAAACATTATATTCCATAAATGTACAGTACTTATCTTAAATCTGACAGTCAGACCATAATGCTGGGCATGTGTACAAATGCTGGTGTGCATCTGTGTGCGTGTGTAGTAGGCCTATGAATATTGCTCATTTGAAATGGTGAATGACTGTAAAGGCTTTTTGAGGACTCTGGTGACCACGAGAATAATAAGCCTTTTGCTGTGTCGGTTGCAAGAAGTAGGCCATGCACAAGGATGGCCTTACCTTGAATAACCTTGGTAAACAGCTGAAATTCCTCTCAGAAACCGACAGGGACAGCTAAAGAGGAATCCACCAATTTTTACAAATTTCTGCATGATTAAAAGGCTAAAATGTACACAAAGTCATTCAGAGAGATTTGATGTGAAATGCTCCTTTCTAGAGAAACTTACCAAACCAGAACTGTTTACAGGAGTAGTGATAGGAGCCAGACGTCTGAAGAGTTTAATGCCTGTAAAAGCTACATCACAAAGTTATTACATGAAATGTAATGATTATGAGACTATGCCAGATAGTTTTGTGATGAATATTTGGCTTAAAATGTATTTTAATCCATTTATCTTAATCCATTCATGGCGGAGGGGTTCATGAAGGGTGTTTTAAGGCAAATTAGCCCATAATTTAAACTTTTTTTTTCAGATGTATGGCTATTTTACCATCATCAGCATTACATATAAAAACTTTAAAGACACATGTATGCTCAGTGGTGGTTTTGGATAATAAATAAAATGGCTATATTTGCGTTGTAGACATCGTGACCCCTGGTTCCTATCACCGCCACTGTAAAGAAATCAGTCTGTAATTTTCTCTACAATAAACCATTTTAAATCAAACCTCTCTGAATGACTGTTTATACCTTAACCACTGAACTGATCAGACTTTTTGAGAAATTGCTGGAATTCCTCTTTAAGTCTGGGCTCAGCCAAGCTCACCATGTTGGACCTGACTGATCGATAGTCTTGCCACCGTGTGGTAAATTTGGGAACGACAAACGTTCAAACGGCGCTTCAGGAGGTCGTAGCAGAGGTCGCTATGGGGCTTTTCTAGAGATGATACTTTTGAAACCACTGTTTTCTGTCTATAGTGAAACTTCTTCACACCAACGCCAGTGGTATCCCCACCAGGAAGCCACGAAGCTAAGGCTAATAAAGAAAAAGTTGCAGCCATGTCCCCTTCTCCTTCACAGCGTGACGTAGACCTGAACCTTTAGATGGTGCTCAGGTCCAGCAAAAGGGCATGAATTCCCTCAGAATGGGATATTTCACCCTAATGGGGGCGTCTCCTGTATGAAATTCCCTAGCAGCTGTCCTTAACGTGAGGAAGGGTTGGGTAAAGTAATGTAAGCCGCCGTCATCAGTAGCTAGTTCCCCCACAGCTCTGCTGAGCACGGCGGGTCAGAAAGCTGAGGAAAGGGCTCTAGCTAAGTTCTTTAAACAGCAGACCTGAGCTCTGTTTGGTGTCGCGTCAGTTCCCTACACACTGTGGCAGTTAGTAATAATGAACAACGAGCTGACAGAGACTCGCGTCTCAGGTGTTGGGGACAGAGCCGGACTGACGGTGCACTTACCCAGAATGGTTCGTCTCCGCATAAGCGCTCCATTTGGGGGCTTCTTCTTCTCCTGCGCCTCACTGGACCTCTTCTTTTTCTTCCTCACGGAGAAAGGATGTGGCTTCGTGTCTCCTTCTGCTCAGCTCTCTCGCTCGGGCATACAGCACACACACACGGACACACATACACATGAAGGAATGAAGGTAACTCGTACCCCCGCCGGCAGACTGACAGCGTTCAGGAGGAAAAAACTATTTACCCCCCTGTTGTCGTGGTGAAGGAGAGGGAGTCACTCGGAGGTTGTCATGACACGCCAGAAGGACACGCCCATCGCTCCGCCTTTACACACGCGCGCTAGTATTTCTGTCTTTGCGGGGTGTTTTTCCATTGACGTATTCACTCGCTCACTTATCATCGAGCTAAATAACTATACCTGAACCTAAACCGGACTCTAAATTTTACCATAATAACCAAAATTAACTTCGAATTGGAAAAGGAAATTAAATTGAGGCTACATATGAATAACCTTATTTAAAAAAAAAAACATTTTTCCTGGTGAGGAGCAGCCCCCACAAAACTGAAGTAACCCCGGGGGGCATTTGGTACCCATTCAGAGCTAAATACATAGGCACAAACACACAGGTGAGAGTGAAAAGAGAGTGAAAAGTTCTAGAGAAACCTACCAACTCCTATTTCTTCACAGCGGTGGTGATAGGAACCAGGGGTCGCAGTGCCTACAATGATCAACATTTTATCATTTACTATCCACACGTCTTCTGAGTTTTGTATATAATGTTCATCATTGGTAAAATAAAAATCCAAAAAAATGTAGTAAACCCAAAAAAACGTGTTTTCTTTATGAAGTATTTTGCCTTACTACGTTCTGTTCCTTTCCTCCATGATAGTATAAAAATACATTTTAAGGGCAAAGTCTCCAGATAGCCGACAGTTTTGGTCCGATTCTGGCTGTCCTAAGTGGGTGCTGGCTGACTGGGTAGATCTTAGGCATGCGGGCCAGAATAGGGCCAGATTCTGGACAGCTTCATACTGTTTTGCCTTGTGTCTACATCTGAGGGACAATTTTGGTGTGAATACTGTGGAGCAACAATGTAGTTGGGCCAGACTGGGACCAGATTTGGGCCATATCCTTAACTTCTACTCACTTTACAGTGTGTGGGCCAGATCTTGGCCGAGGACCCAGCCGTATACCAGACCAGAACAAACCAAGGATGTGGCCCACAAGTGAGCCAGACAAATTTTGCTAACAGGTCTTCTTTTTAAACTATCATAAGACAATGTCTCAGACATCAGGCAGCATATTTGTAATGTTTTCATGCAATAAGTTGTTGTGATGTAGCTTTTAAAGTCTTTTCAGACACCTGTTTTTTGTCACCACCACTGTGAACAGTTCAGAATCCATAAGTTTCTCTTGAATACAGCATTTCACATCAGACCACTCTGAATGTTTACATCTCAATCGTTTAATGATGCAGAAATGTTTAAAAAAAACAGCAGAATGTCTTTATGCTGTCTTATGTTGGTGTAGAAGGAAAGACGAACTTTTTAACCATTAAAAAAATCTATAGACTAAAAACATTTGCTTAATGTACTTTATGTGTTTTTAAAACAGCACTAACATAGATACGGGGAAGTCCTGCTTAAAAATAAAAGTCTACATTTGTTGGCCATTGTTGGGCCAAGAAGAAAATGACATTAATGAACACAATTTAAAGCTGTGTGTTGGAGAACTGAGGGTGCAGTTGTGGAGACGTGTGTGCTCATGCTGTGAGGATGCCCTCTCCTGGCCCTACAGAGAGTGGAACTAAAGGTTTTGATCCTGATAAGCTGGATCGCCTTACATTTATTATAACCTGCCCCTCTTCTCCATGAAAAAACTGAGCCATCTCTAAAGAGAATCCCACCACAGACCTCTCTCAGGTCTGCAGAGGCAGGTGAGGAACTAATTAACCTTGTTCATTTCTGCTATGCTGTAATACGGCCTGTCTGCCACAACGCTCGCACCAGGCTCTGCCCTGTTTTCTTTCATTAGCTGTTAATCCAATTTGTAAGACACTCGTATTTGCTGGAACACGAGGAAGTATCAGTTCAGTTTAACTCAATTAGAAAGATGGTTAATCTCTATATTTTGTTTTTCCAGCCTGGGGATCATAAACAAACAGGGCATGACCTGAAGTACACCGTGTCCAACAGGTTGTAAACACTTGCTCATCCAGTGTTACTTCTCAATGAGATCAAGGGTATTAACAGGGAGTTTTTCACTCCTTTGCTGCAGTAACAGCTTCTACTATTCTGTGAATGCTTTATACTAGATATTGGAACATTGGTGTGAGGATTTGATTGCCTTCAGCCACAAGAGCATTAGTGAGGTCAGGAACTGATGCTGGATGATCAGCTCTGGATCTAGGCCTGCTATGAAACTGAGGATTAATTGCTTGATCAAGTTTGTCTACTTTGAAAAGTCTGTGCAGCTATCAAGGAACAAGTGGCTATATTGGCTGGTCAGCTGTCTTGCTTCCTTGCTGTTGATGCTTAGTAGCTCTCAACTGAAGACGGAAACAGCTTGAGCTTAAAAAAACAATCATGACTCACTGCTGCCCACTAAAGGTGTCACAGCACCCGTCAGACAAAAGAACTACTTATTCATTCTCACAAAACAAGTCCATAACAATTGTCATAAGCGTCATAAGTGTCATTCAGATAAAAAATATTCACATAATTTAGTAGGTCAATTGGAGCTTTATATGGTACAGCAAAAAAAGTTTTCTATTTGAATATTTTTATTAAAAGCGTTTTTACCCTAATTCTCATTACCACAATGTGTCCACATACGTGTTTCTCATCATTTATCTTTTTTTAATTAGAAAACTATTTCTTGTATTATTTTTAACTGCAAATATACAAACTCAGTGTTTCTAATTGTAAAGAGTTTCAAAATTATGATTATTATTTTTTGTTTTTTTGTAAACTGTTAGGACAAAATATTTTGTGGCACAAATAAAAAGAAAAACCTCACTGGCTGTCAATGTGTTGTGATAATAAGACAACATTTCAAAATGCTATACTGGGTTTGATTCCCTGGCTGGGTGACCAGGGTCCAGTGTGGAGTTTGCAGTGTTCTCTCTGTGTAAGTGTGAGTTAAAAGACAGGCAGTCAGGCCTGTTGGAAATGATAAATTGCCCCAAGTTGTGATTTCATTATTTATTTTATTAGCACTGTAGTAACACTGACGTGGTGGTGGTGTGTTAGTCTGTGTTGTGCTGGTACGAGTGGATCAGACACAGCAGTGCTGCTGGAGTTTTTAAACACCTAAGTGTCACTGCTGGACTGAGAATAGTCCACCAACCAAAAATATCCAGCCATCAGGGTCCTGTGAGCAGCGTCTTGTGACCACTGATGAAGGACTAGAAGATGACCAACACAAACTGTGCAGCAGCAGATGAGCTATCGTCTCTGACTTTACATCTACAGGGTGGACTGACAAGGTAGGAGTGTCTAATAGAATGGACAGTGAGTGGACACAGTGTTTAAAACTCCAGCAGCACTGCTGTGTCTGATCCACTTGTACCAGCACAACACACACTAACACACCACCACCACGTCAGTGTTACTGCAGTGCTGAGAATGATCCACCACCCAAATAGTACCTGCTCTGTGAGGGTCCATGGTGTTCCTGACCACTGAGGAACAGGGTTAAAGGGAGCTAACAAAGTATGCAGAGAAACAGATGGACTTCAGTCTGTAATTGTAGAACTACAAAGTGCTCCTATATAGTAAGTGGAGCTGATAAAATGGACAATGAGTGTAGAAACAAGGAGGTGGTCATAATGTTATGCCTGATCGGTGTATATACAAATACATGTTGTGGGGCTTTATACCCCTGTAGCTGACCTATGTCACCTTGGCATAGGCTGTGTGTGTGTGTGTGTGTGTGTGTGTGTGGCTACTACAGAGCATCCCATCCTATGGTCACTTTTCTAAGGAGATTACGCAAGCTGTGTATGTGCAATTCACTGCCTGTCTAAGCAGTAGGTGCACTTTAGAGTAGCTGAATTCATTAATTAGGAGGCATGTCTGGACATATTGTGTTTGAATTTTTTATATTTTCTAAAATAAAAAATTTAAGAGCTCATATCATGGCAAACCACCTCTTTAAAATAAAAGCGTATGATGTAGTGTGTAAACATGATTGAAGTTTTAAAACATGCCATTCACTCTCCAGTCAATGTATGGAAACTAAGCTGAAAACAGCCTGGTTTAGAAACACTGTTTTTGTGTCATATCACAAAAACCAACACATATATATATATCCACTTATTCAGCTTAATAGCAGTTTAGACCTGCCCACTTATGCTGAGTGTTTCAGCACTGACTGCTTTTTAACGAGGTACAATGCAGGGCGGCCCATACATATTTCAGTCTTAAAGGCAGAGCCACAAAAACAGCCTGTTTAATTCCAAGGGTAAAATGGTCATATAAACATGAATTATGACTATTGTTTTGATATATAAAACCGAACAAACATTATAAGTGGCCCTTAAGGGAAAAATAAAAACACAAAAATATATAGCATATGGGCCCAAAGACAAAGCTATTGTGGTCTATGGCCTTATTTTCTGTGTCACCCCAGGAAAATAAAGATGTGCGCTATGATACATCAGACTGTGTTGTGTGATAATATATAGATAAATTGCATATTTCACAAAAGTATTATCTGCACCCTTGGTGACACAGAAATGTGCAAGCTTATGGACAGCATATACTGTCCCCAGTGAAGACTACTATATTCAGGACGTGCTGCAAATGAAAATGATGTGGGTTGCACTCTATACATGCATGATGTAGTGAGACATGTATGCCCTCTAGAGGTCACATTTGCAGGAACTGCTGAAGCACTGCCAAAACAGGCGCTGGACGAGCTTTACGTTATTAATAGAGAAACCGGCGTGATGTTATCTGTGTTCTTGTAAAGCATTGTTGTTCTGAGGCCTCTGTTATTGAGCCCTGCATACATGCTACAGGTCTATATACAAAAGAACAACACACACTTCTGACAGATCAGTTTAGGAGAGAGCTTTGACTGACCGAAAGGTGCATTACAAACAGATCCAAAGGCAAAAAGACATTTAGGTTGTTAGAGCCTTTTGATATACTTGGTATATATATATATATATATATATATATATATATATATATATATATATATCTGTACAGGGGGACCTAGGAGTTCAGGAGGACCCCCTAATTAACTTTCCTGCTTGGC